CGAGCAAAATGATAACTTCAAAAATTCAAAACAAAACAAAATAGAACATGCATTTCCAAAAGTATTTAAGATACAAGGTACAAGTAGAGCTCTAAGTCTAAGATTCAAGAATATGATGTTAGTGAGCAACTCTTTGTAACATTCAGAGAAAATAGGAAAAACAAATTACCAAAAAGTACATCAAAAACATCTAGGTCCTCGCAGGATAAAATTCACTCAACTCTCAAGTGTTTAGGTTAACTATTTACACTCAAAACACACAACATGAAAATTAGTACTACCATAAGCTTGAAAATACTCTAACATCTACAATTAAAATACAAGCACACACAGATCAAAAGGACTTTTATTTGGTTGTAACTTGGTCAAGGTACAGGTGAAATAAATCCTAAGGGAGTACTAGGCTAAAAATCAAAGAGTTAAAAGAAAATTCAAAGGATTGCAGGAGTTGAACTATAAGTTACATTAATTTCTTTCAAACAAAAACCTCACAACTTATTTCTCTTCTCTTTTCTTATTTTTTCTTCTCTTTTTTTCCGGAAGGACTATGTAATGAAATTTTCCTCTATTTTTTAATTTTTCAATTTTTTCCTTTTCTTTTTCTAATTTTTTTTCTGTCAACATTTGGAACATCACAACAACATCACGAAAATGAAGTTCAACCCCATACAACTCCATACAAGATTCTTTCCACCCTTGATTAGGGTGATAATTTTGTTTTTTACTTTTCGACTTGTAATGAGTTAATCACACACAAAAAAAGATAAATAGACTCAAAGGGATTTTCAAACAAAGGGATGATATTGATCAGGGTTAGCTTTTTTTTGGCTAAGTGGATAAAATTAAAATAAAAACAAGTTACCTTGGTCATATAGTGTACACAAGTAAACAAAAAGCATCAACAAGAGTCAATTCAAGTTCTAGAGACAAACTGACATGAGCGAATTACACAAGAAAGAAAGGGATAGATTTTTGTATGTTATCCATATAAGGCTTAAAACTCATAAGGTTAATGATCTAATACTAATGATGTGTAATTCAGAATTTAGTCTTACTTATCATACTAAGAATGCACACACAAAATTTCACATCAATCACAAAGTTCTATTCAAGAGAAGTATGAACAACACTCATACTTGTAACTCAAAAATCAAAGAAAAACATGCAATTTTTTTTTCAAATTTTTTAAAGACAAAACCAAAATAGAGAAAATTGAAAATAAAACAAAGAAAACAAAATAAAGCAATGGTTCTCTCCCCCACACTTAAAATATCCATTATCCTCAATGAAATGACAACTATAAAATAAGAGTGAGAGAAAAGAAAGAACACACCCGAGGAATCAAGGCGGATAAGTGATCACATAAGCAGCCTTTTCCAAAGAAAGATCTTCTACAAACTCCTCTTCCAAAGTTTGGATATCATAAAGTGACTTTTGGTAGCTTTTATTGACCTTGAAATATTTATTAGTGCCTTCGCCTTTTATTCCAGGATCAAAGAAGAATTTTGATAAGTAAAAGTGTCGAATGGGCACGTGAACATGATCTCTTTTTCACAACATCAAGAATCAAATTATTAAAGGGATGTCTCATTGCTTTTCTTCCATCTTCCGTCGAGGTTCGTCCAATTCTCTTCTTATGTTTTTTCAAAACCTGTAAAAGCTTATTTTCTTGATCAAAATCAAGGTTAGAAGAAATTATAAATGGAAGCTTTTTGTCCATCTTTAAATAAGCATATTTTAGATTATTATGAAGTGGTTTAAGCTCTAAGGGAGGAGGTTATTCAATAGATGGTGAGGTTGAGGCAACTGTGATGTCAAGAACTTCAGCTGCATAAACAACTTCATCTATAACTTCAGCTGCATGAAAAATATCACCTTGCAAGGCAACACTAATCTCAGCACAAACAGACAAAATCTCAACATAATGATAATAATGTATTTAATACAACCAACCACTAAATTATTCAACTTCTTCCACCAAAATCATTTCTAGATTAAAGTTTGACACGTTAGCTTCATGACACTTCGAACGACACTCGAATCGGACTCCCAAAACAAAAGTTATAAATTTTAGAAGATGTTTTAAAAAAAAAACAGCAATGTAACCGGTTACGCAGGCCACCAGCGCCGTTGCCATTGGCGTAATTGATTACCACAAATACCGTAATTGATTACCCCTACGAAAAAGGCAAAAATGCAGTTTTTATGCAATGTAACCAATTACACCTACAATGGTAATCGATTACATTGCGTCCAGAATCAATTTTTTCAGCAGCTTATTATACGAAAATCACTTTTGAACCCTCCCAAAACTTTTTTTTTCTTATAAATCGTTTGAAACATATTTTAACACGAAAAAAGTACTTTTTTAAAGTCTTAAACCCCAAATCTTTTTCATCAAAAATTGCTCATTACTTTGTTCCGACTCTGACTCGCGATCACAAACAACCAACAACATCAACAACATTCAACAATCACGTATATGATTCCAACAACAGAAATGACAATGACACATCACTCTGTTATCAATCAAAACATCAACATCATACACAATTCCATTAAGAACTCATTATACCACAAACAATATCGACAACATACAAAAATTACTTTTACGAATCCAACAACAGAATTTGCAATGATACATCATTTTATAATCTATCACAACATCCACAATCATTCACAATTCATCAAGAATTTCATCAAACATACAATACCAATTAATCAAAATCATGAATAGGAAAAGAAACATAAAATCTACGTGACATAATCTACCCATCAATTATCATGATAATCCTTAGATAATTAGAAATTCACCCTTTCCTTAGAGTTCTTGCAACAATTCCCTCTTCCACTTTCCCCTTTTATTATTATTATTATTACTAGTGTTCAAACGGGCACGAGGTGTCCTTCTGTCCGTTTTTTTAATGTTTAGACGTTTAAAAATATAAATGTATTTTTTGTGTGTTTATTTTTTTTAATTTAATGTTTATATAAAAAAATTGAATGAAATAGTTGTGCAAACTACCATATAACAGTTAATAAAAAAGAAGTGAGTAAAAGAGAAGTTGAATTTATAATAAAAAACAAAAGGGTATTATTATTATTATTATTATTATTATTATTAATTGTACAAATTAAATAATAATAATAATAATAATGCGCAAAAGTTTAAAGCTTCGATTATAAGGTGTTGATTGATGATGGCACAAGAGTGTTATGGGGAAATTTGATAAAGTTCAACAAGGCCCGACCGCGTGCAGTTTTTTACTTATGGCAAGCTTGTCATGGGAAGCTTGCGACCAAAGGCTGAAACGGTTTGGGATGATTGAGGACAGCATCTGCAAATTATGCCAGGGTGAGGATGAAACGCTAAATCACCTTTTTTTCTCCTGTCAAGAGACGAAACACATATGGAAGGAAGTGCTTAAATGGTTTAACATTTCTCATGAACCTCAACCATGAGATGCAGAACTGGTTTGGATCAACAATATCACAAAGGGAAAGGGGTGGAAAGTCGAAGTTTTGAAGATGTTAGTAGCTGAAACCATTTACAACATCTGGGATATAGGAATGGCAAAACTTTTGGAAACGTTGTAGATATTACAACCACGACTACTAACATCATAGATCATGTGATCTACCGAGGGGGGACAAACAGTAGGATTAGAAAACATCTTGTTAGTTTTATGATGTAATCCGAAGTCCTTTTTGTCGGTTGGATCCCCTTGGATCACCTAACTCTGTACTTCTCGCCGTTTGAATTAATATACTTATTCCCTTGATTTAAAAATAATAATAATATTTCACATATTATTTAAACTAATTAATTAGTCACTTTCACCACACCACCAAGTTCTAAGCAATTCGTCATACACCCCTCACCCTTAAGGTCTATAATTCTAAGGTCACTATCCTCTATCACAGGGTACCCCTAACATAATAAAACACACATAATCACATACATACACACAACATCACATAACTTTAATTACAAAAAATAATTAAAATAAAACGGGGAATTACAACACCCGGACAAACGTTTAAACTCACCAAGTACACCTCTCGAAGATATTAAAGATGAAATTCATATTCTCCTACCTTACGGAGACAATCAAAGGATTGTGAAGTTCGAGTATCTATTACCGTCGATTGGCAACAGAGGGAAGATTGAGTTCAACAAATTTAAGCCCAAGACGCTAGCAAATATAAGAGCTATGTGTAATACATATTACCGTTTCGAAACAAAAGTTTTGTTCGAGTTGAAAATGACGATTTAAAAATCGATCGAAAATATTGAAACGTTCACGTAATTTTGTAATGATCCATGTGATGTTTATTTTATTTTATAAATGTTAACTTCAATTTGGAAAATTACATGTTTTTAATTTGCTATTGATGTTTCTATGTTACGGAAATGTAATTACGAAAACATTCCAAAAATACATCTCCGGACATTTAAAAGATACATCCCTGAAATAAAGAAAATTCAACTTATAAAATGTCATTTAGAATAGTCTATGTTAAAGTATTTTCGAAAATGTATCTCCGAAAACTAAAAACAATTTAACATTCTTGCATAGGATGCATTAATTAATCTTTTAAAATAAATACCGAAAGATTACCACAACAAGATTTTCACGCTGCAGGTGAAGTTAACGCTATATTCTTGCTATATATGAATTACCTCTTTAGCAATTAAATAAACTTTCTATTAGATCATATAAACTATATATTATAATCAAAATATAATCTTTAGAATATCATCATAATAATCCTAATTGTGAAGGAATATTTTGAACCTCAAATTTGGTATATACAACCTTCATACATTATTATACAAACCTAGCTACAAAATTTAAGATCAAATGGACTTCACGATCTCCAAATGTGTAAATGAGTTAAAATGGAAAGTTTAGGAAAACAAAAGTGTAGGTAATTTTGAGGATCACAACTACTTATGAATGTTCATAATCACATCTTCAGAAGGAAATAAAGTTGGGTTAATATAGAACAAATGTACGAACAGATGGAGATGATTTCATGTCTTCAACAATTAGATTTAAGAGATTCTGTGTTATATCACCTTCTTTGCCTACAATAAATGAAAAAACAAATCAACAAGCTTAAAGATCATTTGATCTGCTGATAATTAGAATATGACATGTTCATACTTAACTTTTAAACTAAGGGAATTTAATCAACTAGAAGAAAACTAAAGGATGAATAATGCTCATAGTAATTAATCCAAAATCACATGAATATTCATTGGAGAAAGAAGAGAAATTGCTTACCATCTCCAAAAATCTTCTCATCCCACTGAACTACAGGGCAAACTAGGACTCCGCTACCAAGAAGCATCATTTCATCTGCTTTCTTCCCTTCCTCGACGGTCACATTTTTCTTTTTTATCCCCCGAAGCTTACCCTGCTCGATCAAACGCTCAGCAAGGGTTAAAACTCTCTTAGCTGTACACCCACTTAGAATTTTGTCGAAGTGAGGCGTTATAAGTTCCTTCTCTTTAGTGACAAAAGCCACATTCATATTAGGCCCTTCAGCAACAAAACCTTCATCGTCAAGCCAAATCCCTGCAAAAGCACCCGCTTCTTCCGCTTCCATCTTTGAAAGCACATTTGGAAGGTAATTCACACTCTTAGTGATTGCAAACTTGGGATGTTTTATTGGAATAGATGAAGTAATGACTTTAACTCCTCTAGACTTAACTGCGTCCGCTGCCGGTGACATGTCCTGTATTACAATTGCATAAAGCACTGACTGGTGGCAGCCAGAGGGAGAGAGGTTAAAGTCACCAGGTCCTGCTGATAGCCAGTATCGTAGCGACCCATTTCGACATTTGGACGCGCTAACAGTTTGTATGAGAATTCTTCGAATACTTTCACGATCAAACGGGGGATCTATTTTCGATCTTGATGCTGAATTTAAAAAGCGATCAAGATGTTGATCTAGCTCGTACAGATACCTGTAAAGCATAAAATATATCAGCTGACACCTTTAGTTTTCAGAGTATAAAACACAATGTTGGGGAAAAAATACTGTAGTACCTAATTGACAATAATACTTCACAACCTTATTAATAGATAGTTATTTTATCCCAAAGGGTGCACAAAGGAGAGTGAACGTTTTCACTAACCCGTCCATTATTGCTGCAGTATCAAAGACACCATGGCCCCTATGGACCATGTGGTCATCCATAGGAATAACCATAACTGCTGGATCAGTTGTTATCCCACCAAAAATACTAGAATACATGGCAAGGTATTGCTGCTTTCCCTTTATATTTTCTCGGAATGCTTTCATCCTTTCATAGGTCTTATGCAAGCAAAAGAGGGAGTAAAAACATGTATTATTAGTAACATCAGTGTCACATACTTCAAATAATTACTTCAATTCTACTTATTAGCCCTCACTTTTGTTTAAAAAATGATTATTTTTCGTACACGTGAATGTCTACGATTTTCATGAAAACTATATCATACAAACTAACCAAACACATGAGTTTTACTAGAATCTACAATGTGAGTGAGTACCTGGGAGGAAGATAAAAGAGGAACAGCATCAAACACATGAGCTTTACTAGAATCTACAATGTGACATAATAAATTTCATTTTGAGAATGAATTAATCATGATTAGCATAATATTAGTGATAATTAAGATGTGTAAAAAGTATGAATATAAAGTTTGCAGGTAATAACAAACCAAGTAAGGTTCTAGAAGGATCAGAATCTGAGAGCGCGGTGGTTTTTACGTCGGGAAAATTGAGGCGATGTTGTTGAGGATAGGAAAGACGGTGATGATGATGAGGGAATTCAGTGGAAAATAATGAATTGAGTGGTTGTGGAAAGAAGCGGAGAAAGGCCATGAATTTCACGGTGGTGATGCTGCGATGGATACTGAGAAGATGTTGTTTGTTGATTCTTATATTCTTTGAAAATGATTGATTAACTAGATTAATAAATGAACCCTTCTATGATTAGAGATTATTTAAAATGGAAATAAAATTTACTTAAAAGATTCCTAGTGGATTACAATGATAAGATTAATAATGAGAAATGATATGCAAACACGGAGGTACAGACAAATAGTCACTGCATTTTCTATTTAAAGTGGTAAAAATGTAAAACCCATGTTTAAAATTTTCCTATTCAAATCAAAATTAACTTACTTCCAAAAATAGCTCAAAGATGGATTCACCTTTCGAGATGCTTAGTTTTTGGGTTTTTAATTATAAAATATTTTGATAATATTAATTTTGTAAAAATTTTCATTAATAATTTAAAAGAAGAAATTAAAAAATTAGAAGAAAAAAACTAATCAATGATAAATGATAAAATTAAATAAAAACTATTAATATTAAATTAATAATTTTAAAGCAACTTTATTTTATAAAGTAATATAAAATGTAATGCGAGAAGTTTTATACGGTTATTGAATCATAGCCGTTAAATTTTTGTAAATAGTATCACTGGTAGATAGTTGTGATTACACAATGCATTATCATTATTTTCATAAAATTGATTTGTAAGTAAAATTTAACCACTTTTAAACTATTTAATTTTTTATTAATTTATTTTTCATTAATTTTAAAAACTAATTTAAGTGCATTTAATTACACCTTCTTTCTAATTTTACAACTGTTAAAAAAATTAGAATATGAAAAAGATTATAAAAATAAATTTATTTATTTAAAGATAAATTTAAAATAGTACGATTAAATTTAATAATCGTATGAGACTTAAAAGTAATGATTTTTCTTTAATACTTACCTGCAAGATCCCAGGGTTTGAGTAGTCCCTATTATTTATAAGCCTACTCAGATCAGAATTAAACTAGTTGATTCTCTTTCGCCTATCGGCCGGCTTTAAGCAACCTTCGCATTTCCTGCTGAGATCCCAAGTCTCCAAGTGGGCCCACTTGGCCACCCGCGACCTTGGCTTTTTAGAGAATCCCGCTCCTGTGTCGTGGGACTTTTAGCTCGGCAGAAGGGAGTATTAATTAGTTATTTGTAGTTAAATAAAAAATTAAGAGTTTATTTAATAAATATATGTAGTATTAAGAAAATTAATATGATATTTCTACACCAAGAAAATAGACACCGTCTTTAGTTATTTGCATTTTTTCATGTACTAACTATTCATGAGAAAATTTCATTGTAATTTTCTTCATACAAGAAGAATTGTTATATAACAGGGTGCATTTGATGTCAATTACAAATTCAGTCTTCTCAAACTAAAGACTTAATCTTACAAATGGTACATACATTTATATATATATATATATCGAAGCTTGACAATGACAGCTGTAATTGTTACAACTGAAGCCATGATTGACAATGGACTTATCTACAATCCTTCAACATATGACAAAATGCTTGACAAGCTTCATGGCTGACTAGCCGAGGATTTGCTGCTATCATTCTTATCAGGTGATCCACATTCACTAAAGTCGAGTACACGGCGCTCAACCTGAAGGAAAAAAAAACATTAAGCTATACGGTATTGGCAAAAGTGAGATTTATCAGAAATTATCTTAAGTGCAGTACAGTGAAAACCATGTAGATGGAGGATCATTAAATTCGACTTTACCAAAGCATTTGAAGTTAATTTAGAATTATTTGCATTATTTTCGTCGTCGATATTCTTATCATCTCCTGATGTGTTGTCGCCTTTAGGTAATGCTTTAGGAGTATCATTATTCAAAATCTCCTGTGCATTTTCATATGTAGCAGCAGTTTGTTCACCAACTTCCTTTAACAACCCGATCGCGTCGTAGCTTTTATCACCTCCTGGGCTTTTGAAAAATCCAAAATCCTGAAAACATGTTTAAAGTTTTTCAGCAAGTCAAAATTAAATGTATTTCAAGATCATTGCAGTAATATTATCCAACAGAACCTTAAGTACCTCCATTGTAATTTCAGTATTTGGGCTACAGAGAAAAGTATTCCTGAACCAAGGAGATTTCCATGCAGAAGGCGATTCAAAACCTTTTCTGAAAGGTGTTCCACCAAATCTACCGTCGAAGAAGCAGACAGTTAGAAACAGTGTGAGCATTGATAATAATAATTCAAGAAAATTAAAACAGACCAACTGTAACGGAGTGCCAAAGTGAATTCTTGCAAATAACAGTCAGCAGAAATTTAAAGAACATTACATGCTACTCGTTTCAAATTCTCCATCGTTTTTACTTTGATCCCCCTGCTCTGGAGCTTTTGCATGAGTAACAGAAACTGTAAGATTTTCATGCTCCTTTGCACGAACACAAGGAGAGCTAAACCTTGAGCGTTGATTCTCAGAAGATGGCTTTGAAGGAATGCTCTGGTTTGGAGCTATTTCCGAGCTCTTATTGTTCATGTTTCTGGGAGTTATAACACTAGAACCTAGAACTCTGTCTCTAAAACCAACTTCATCAGATGAATATAATGAAAGGTCGTTCCTATCATGTTCAGACAAAACACCAGAAGATTGTTGCACCTGATAAACAGAACTAAAGGAGTGAAAAATAACCTAACAAAGAAATAAGAGGGAGGGGGACAGATGGAGAAGTAATTCCTGAACTGTACATAGTACTTACAATCTCAACAGCAGCAGTGGCATCAATCTTCATTTTAGAATCAACATCAAAACATTGCTGCTTAACCTTACCAGGAGAATTACTGTCAAGAGCATCTCTTTGGGACATCTTTTCTTCCAAAACTGCAGATTTAATTATCTCCTCTACTTGTTTACCTTTATCAGCTTGCCCACAATTTTCTTTATCATCGTCAAAAACAGGAGCCTCAGAGTTTTGCTTTTGCAATGAAGATGGAGAGAAAATATCTGCTTCTAAACTAGAAAAGGCTTTGGACAAAGAGGACGTCATGTCAGTCTCAAGTTTCTTGCCAATTCTTTTATCTGAAAGTGGGGATAACAAATCTCGGCGGCGTTTTTTTAATATTGATGGTGTACCCGTAAAAGTTTTAGCTGCACTTTTTAATAATGCTTCTGGGCTATCATCACGAGAAGGCGAGTCCCACAACCTCGATGGAGTCAGACAGTTCATAGACGACATCATAAACTGGCGGATACCCAGAGGACTAAATTCTTGCTGCATATCACCCCCAGATTGCACAAGATCACAGCTCAAGAAAGGCATATCCATGCTCGGAAAACGGGGAGGTTCATAGCATAGCGCTCCCTTGCCCTCCTTTTCTGTGTGCATGTTTGGCCTTTCATCTGTTGGATAACAGGTTTGCTTAACATCACTCATTACTGCACTATCTGTAGCATCAATACAAGGAGAACTGGGCATGTCAATGGCATAATTGAAGTTATCAGGTGCACTGGAAACAAACTGCTGATCCTCAGGCTCAGCGGAATGTACTGGTCGAGTAGATTGAGAGGATGTCATTCCTCTAAAATGATTAGAACACTGAGGACAAGTTAATGGCAGAGTTGAGGTTTCATAATTTTCGGAAATCTGAAAATGACATGATTGACAAACAAATAGGGGGTGACCAGAAAATTCAACAGTATCAACATCTTTATTATAATCTTCAGGGATAAAACACCTATCATTATTTGCCTCTGAAAATAGGGCTCTGCAACATTCATCATCAGATATCAGCATGTGATCCAGTTTAGCAGCATCCGTAGATGTAGTTTCCATGGGCATTGAAACATTTGCCAAGTCATGTATTCCGCTAGGATCTGTAGATTCCATATAATCTCTTTGCAACTGAGAGGAGTCCTTCCCTAAGTCTATTGATGAAATATTGGGCAACGAGTGTAAATTAAACTGGCAATCCTCATTTATGGAATTTCCAGGTTCATGTGAGAATTGTTCATTGAATTCAGAAGAATTTGCTTCATGATGAGCAATTTCTGGGATGCATGTAGTAGCATCATCAATTGATATGTAATATGGCTCTGAACAGGATGCTTGACTTGGACTATGATCCGTCCCAAGACTACATTCTCCCCCAACAGTTGGCAAGTCAATACTGGTCATCTCTCTAGTGGATGGAAAGTGGAGAGCATTAGCTGAGTCATGGCTATACTCTAAAACTTCATCTCCTTCAGTCCCCTGAAGAACATTGTCATCTGCATTACATTGCACCCCTGAAGATGTTGTAACCATTGATTGACTTGGATTTCCATCATGAGGTGCAGATTGCAGCTGAGTAAGTAAGCCCGATGCCAAGTAAGAATCCAATTTCTTTTTGACTGAACTGTTCCAGTGGTTTTTAATAGCATTGTCTGTCCTGTTTCCATTGAAGTACAAGTACGTCACCAAAACTAAAAGCATACAGATAAGCAGAATACAGAATAACTTGACATGGAAAAAACAGGCACTGATGACATAATTTGGATCCCCTGCAGTACTAAGTTAAAAAATTTAAGATGTGTATTGTGTTTTTATCATACATACATGATTAAGACCTATGACCGCAGATGGAGGTCAAGCATGTTACATCTTTTCAATAAAAATATAATTAAATATGAACTTACCTTCCAGGCAAAAACTTCGTTAATTCTGCCCATTTATTCCCATAACTTTGATGAGCACGTATTAGAGCCAATTCCTCTTCCTGTGTCCATGCTTCTTTGTTTATAGCAGGATTAAGATGATTATGCCACCTAATAACATTTACAAAATATACTAACGAAAATGAGCACCATCCCCCCAAATATACTTCAAAATAGTTCCTACAATATGATTTCTGAACGACACCTGTTGAGAAGTATAGGTTTACAGTTATGGAAGAAAGAGAACAGGAAAAGCATTAAATATTAATCACTGTGAGAGTCTTCTCTAGTACTAAACATCTGGTTGTATATTATTTATCTTTGCTTAGCAGTCACGCAATTAGTCCCTGTTAGGTAG